CTGATACAGACACAGCATTTACTCTCAAGCATACTGCTCATGTAAATAGTGACCTGAAATTCCAGAGCAGGATAATACCCTGAATTCTTAGAATATCCAGGTCTTTGCTGAAACATCCCTGACCATTCATGTCTGTGACCATGGTTATGAAACAAGTTTGAGTCTGAACATGCAAACTAAGTTACGGTACCACCTGAATCAATAGGAGAAACAGTTTAAAACACATATAAATCAGATAAACCAAGTAACCAGAATGCATGAGAAAAATTTTCTATTCTCTTTCTGACAATATTCTCCAATGTGCTAATGTGCATGGGTGTTTATTCATAGTCGGAAAAAAATCTGTCATCTTGTTTCTTACCTGGAGAAAGTGATTCTAATCGTTACTCTTCAGCATTCAACCAGTGGAATTATCATCTAAAATGACAACCTCCCCGATACACATGGAATCCAAAAACTTACACATCACAACTGTGTAGGACTGTTCCTCATTTTTCTTCTCCTGTGTCCTTTCCTTTCTGTGTCCCTCTCCACAAAGGAAAGGGGCACTTTCCTCTTTTAAAGGAAACTCCTGAAGAAGTTCCTTCCTTTGCAGTACCACAATTGTGCACATGCAGCCATGAGTAATGGGATCACATCCTGTGTTCGAGGCACAACACTGCTTTCACAAAGCCTCACCCTAAAAAATCTATAATACTTGTTTTAATTAATTTGTCAGTGTGTGAATATCTCACATTTCTGCCTGTTAAAAACAATGTTATTGAAGCAAGACAATGTGTGTTCAGAGAAAATACAGTTTTAATATTTATGATAATTAATTAATGATAATCAAACATTTTTAAACTGAATATGAATGTGATAAAATTAATTTCAGCATCAACCAATCTCAAAAACATCTGTCAAAAGTCTGTAAAGTTTTCATGGTGTATATATCAGATCCTTGTAATAGTGGTGTATTGTAATCTAACCACTGGGTGGTGTATTTTCCATTCCTCGAAGAAGACCTATCAGT